TCTTCCCAAAGTGCAGTCTGCGTACAACAATTCAGGTGCAGCACCTGTCTACTGCACGCACCCCGAATGAATTGCACAACGGTTGGCAACCCCGACGTCCGATCGACTGCCTGAATCCGGACCAGATTCAAAGACTGCTGCCTGGTACAAGGGAATTTGCCATTCAATACGAGAAAGGCTTCGAGCAGGTGAAGAAGAACATCCTCGAGGCCCAGCATCAGATGGTAGAACAGGCCAACAAGCATCGACGCCCCTCGCAATTTGTGCGCCAGCAAGCATCAGCGCCCCTCGCAATTTGTGGGCCAACAAGCATCGACGCCCCTCGCAATTTGCGGGCCAACAAACATCGATGCCCCTCGCAATTTGCGGGCCAAGAAGCATCGACGCCCCTCCCAATTTGCGGGCCAACAAGTTTCGACGCCCCTCGCAATTTGCGGGCCAACAAGCATCAACGCCCCTCGCAATTTGCAGTAGGTGACTTGGTCTGGGTAAAGTCTAAGGAGTTCGTTCTGGAAGAAGAGATATCGCAGAAATTATTATCAACGTAAACGGGACCATGGCAAGTGCTAGATGTCAAGGGAGAGGCAGATGGTCCATCCTACACTATCAAGATTCCACCGCACCTGCACACTTACCCGGTATTCCGTGTGTCTAAGTTGCTTCCCTGCGACATGGACAGGAGGTTACGATGTAGATAGAATAGTGGGCGAAAGATGTCTTCCGTAGAGGCCGTACAGGGGGAGACCGCAAAGGCGGTACAAGGTCAGATTTGCCAATCAGGAAGCCAGCGAAGACCACTGGTTCCCCAGGGAGGAACTAATACAAACAGCCCCTCACATTGTCTCCTTTAATGAGAGGGCCCGGTGAGGAATGAACGTGTACGACCAGATAATACAGAGTTAATACAAATACAGCGGAAGACTTGGAGATACATGGACTGACTCAGACCTGACTCAGACTGCAACGAAACACTCACAAACATACATCGGTGGTGTGAAGCCCTGGCCTTGGACATAGAAGAAAAGGCCGGGGCAATCCTCATACACAGATGAATGGAGGGAGGTGAGACGAAGGGAGGAGGAGAGGGAAGATGACGTCAACTTGATATTTCCAAAAATAGTATCTTGAAAATGTCAGAATCCGAAATGTCGCGAACACAGAGTCTCACAGTGTCTCAGATATCGATCTCACAATATCAAGGTACTTCTTCAGAAGAAGATGAAATCAGATCCTCAGAGTAGTCCTCAACCTACAGTCTCGATGTCACTGTCTCCAATGTCATCAGAACCCGTCACCATCCTTCATACTCATAGTAGTCCCATAGCAGTAACCAGGAGTAGACTTAGACTTAGAAGGTAGGAGGAGAGAGAGAGAGAGAGAGAGTCGCGGAGGAGGAAGAGGGAGAGAAGGCGAGGCCTTTCTCCCTTGTTACATCTTCGACTCACACGGGTCCTACCGGACCCGACTTAGGGCCGGAGGGACACACCAGGGCCTAAAGGCCCGACCTTTGGGGTTTACAGGCCCTAAAGGCCTGATTTTGGACTATCACCCATCGGGTAGGCCCAAACGACACTTCGTTTGGGCCTGGCGGCGCTCTTGAAGCTGCCGCCCGCCGATTGAGGCTGAACCGTCCATCTGGACGGTTCAGGGTCTGGCCTGGCCTCGCAGCATTGAGGCCAGACCATTGCCCACCGGTATAAGTACCGGTATCCGCCTCAGTAGTGGGATCGGCCTACCGGAACTCTACCGGCACGGCATGGTCAGTGCTAGTGCACTGTTTGATGTGCTAAACTTAGCGCAGGGGCTGAAGCAGGAGCGCAGCAGCGAGCGGAGCAGCAGCGGGCGACTGAGCTTGCACGGCRGTTATYACCGCCTGAGGTATCGGGAGCTTGGAGGGTCTCTCCTCCTCTCCCTCGCCAGTCCCCTCTCTCTCTCTCTCCTCTTCCTCCTTCTTCTTCTTCTTCTTCTTCTTCTTCTTCAGATTGGAGACTATCCAGTTGGACAGAGATCAGAGTTGGATTTCGGTGATACGAGACTGTGGTACTTACCTGATTGGAGACTATCCAGTTGGACAGAGATCAGAGTTGGATTTCGGTGATACGAGACTGTGGTACTTACCTGATTGGAGACTTGGAGATTGTTGAGGTTGATACTCGGCTGCATCACAGTTGGACACCGGTTACATCTGGACTCTGTTATCTCCGACATTGGTGACCTTTGGTGCTCGACATTTTGATCTTGTTATATGACATTCTGGACTACCATTTCGGAGACCTATCAGACTCTATCTTTGTGACCTATCGGTGTGATCTACCTCCTACCTCCTTCGTCTCTCCTCCCACCTTTCATCTCTGTATGTGTGTACGGGATCTGGGTATCGTCTATGAATGACCCAGACCCCACCATCTCATGATTGTATGTGTGTGGAGTGATGCCATGTAGGTCAGTCTATGTGMGTCAGTCTATGTGAGTCAGTTCGTTTATCAGACTTCCGCTGCATAAATGCTCATCCTATATTGGTTGATCTTTGGTTCTGCCCATACTCATTGAAGTATGTAACATCCCTGGTACCTGTCCTGGTAGCTATGGCGCTGCAGGAGGCTGGCGCTGGGCCGTGGGCTGGGCTGGTGGCTGGCGCTGTTCCAACTGTTGCGTTGGTTCCTCCTTGCCGCTGTGCTCGTCCTCTCTCTGCTGCTCATGCTAACGCTGCTGCGCTGCGCTAATCCTGCTAACACTGAAGCGCTGCGCTAATCCTGAAGACTAACCTCCTGTCTACCAACCTACCCGACTGAGGCTGGTACCCAGCTGATATAGTGCTGGGTCGGCCTCAGTCCTACTGAGGGCCTTCGGGTCTGGACCATTGATCAGGCCGAACGGTTCAGATCCGATTTTGGAATCTGAAAAGTGGGCGCCAAAACTGTGCTGCCCTCTGGGCCTACCGATGGACCGGTACCTGGCCTAAACTAGCCGTTGGGTCTGGTGGGGTCTAAACTGGTCTGGTGGGGTTTAAACGAGGCCTACCGGACCCTAAACTGAACCGACGGTTCCTAGGCCTACCTGGACCTAGCTGGGATCATCGTGACCTGATGCCTAGGCCTAAACTATGCCTATCACAGAACCGGGCCCTAACTGGGGCCCGTGTGGTATCAGTATGCCACGCGCAGCATAGACCCAACTCAGACAGCGGGCGGTTGGGCACAGGTAACTGTCGGTGGCCCTGGGCCTGATTCGTTTGGTCTGAGGCTCAGCCTCCCTGGGCCTACCGGAAGCTTCTGGGCAGGGGCCCAGCGCAGCCAGGCTGCACGCAAGCAGGCTGGCCACTTCCTAAGCCACTTCCATTTAGGAAAGGGCCAGCCTATGCATTCGGCATTCGGGCACTGGCTGCTTTGTGCGCAAGCGCTGCTGCGCTATTGCTGGCCAGGCTCACGCGCTCACGAGCGAGCTGGAAGGAGCGCTGCTGTATGCTGGATGGAGCGCATGGTGGTCCTTGGGTGCATGTGGCATCTGTGAGTTGGGGAACGAGGTTGGAAGTGATACGAGAGACATACCCGGTGCTTGAAGCGTGCCGCATTGTCCGAGATCTCCTCGTACTTCGGGGAGCTGTTGACGTGATCAGCGGCATTGTAGTCTAGGCTATATAGGATCTGCCATTCATAGTCTGGGCGCCGAGCTCCAGATAGGATATCTACATTGGTTCTTCGTTGATGATGATGAGACTATTCCAGCATTGTCAATTATGAGCTTTTGCTGTGTTCTTATTTGGTGAAACTCGTGATGCAATTCTGCTATTGGTTCGAGGCCACGACTATCTGGTCTCATGTGTATGATGCTGTTTGATTTCTGAAGTTCGCTACTGCTCATCTTCCTTGCAATTTGGTATCGGAGCTGTGGTTCGGTGCGCTAATCTGTCGCTTGTCATCTGCCTAATACGGTACATGCACACGGTGTGTGCGGTGAGTGACCGTGTCGTGGGACGCGTGTAGTAAGGAGGGCGAGGATAAGCAGGTGACCCAGGTGGAGAGGGGATCGCCAGGAAGGCTATTCGGTGATTATTGGGTGTTCGCAGTGTGATGAGAACTATTCGATGTGTGATTGATGCTGAGGTGGAACAGCTCTTCAACACTTCTTATCGTGAGGATGTGTGCTCTGTCTTGAGAGTCCTCTCATGTGAGGAGTCGTGTGCGCTCAACCTTGAGAGTCGTCAGCCTTCACGTGGAGTGTCTGGAAGGAGAGGGCGGTGCTATCTGAAGGGCCCTGGGCGAAGCAATGGGTCACGGTCACCATGCCAACCCACCGGGAGTAGAGCACGCATGCTTTGCTGCTTTGTCCTTTGTCTGCTCGCTGCGCTGTAGAGGGGTTCTGAGGGGCAGGGCAGCCCTATGGGACAGACGAGAACGGGCGTCTATAAATAAGCACCAGTGGAGTACCTGCCATTGGTTGTGATCGTCGTCCTGTCTGCGACGTTAAAGAATTCCTGAGGACTTTGGGGGCCGTCCATATAAACGCCTCCTGATCAGCCAATAGGTCGGTGTAAGGCTCGCTGCACGCGAGGATAAAGACTATGCAGGGCTGGCCAGCTCAGCAGGACTCGGGCACAGGGGTGGGCGATGTGCACACCTTTAGACACTCATGCTATCTAGATCGCTCGGGGACATTGACGACAAGAGACATTCAAGAAGAACTGAGGGAGGGGTAGATTCCAGGTGATAAGTTTGGGCAAGATTCCACTCTGCAAACAGACCCAACAAATGATTCTATTTTTATTTTGATTAGTGAGATGTACAGCCATTAACATCTGACAGAGCATAGTTAGAACTGTTTTCTGTTCATTGTGCTTTCTGTTTGCGAACTAGCCAAAGTCGAAGTAGTTTCGTTTGTAGGAATCTGAACTTACCTGTTAGACCCAGATGTATCTACTCTGACGTAGCCACTGATTGATTATTTAAGCATTATAAATCGGTCTGTGCATTACGCTGCGGTAGGCATCAAAGAGTGACCTAGTGCAGATTGTGTACAGCTCTGTAGCTTATGAGCGACAGGGAGGTCCCACCACCGGACGACCGGATCATGCGATCGGCTAGACGCCCAATTGCCCACGTGGCATTAGGGCCGGAGGGTGATAGGTTACTGTTCCGCCAGCAAAGGGAGAGACAGCAGCAGCAGCGGAGAGCTAGGGCAGCAGAGGCTAGCGGGGCATTCACAAGTGAAGCCGCAGCTTCAGCAGCCATGGCATCTGCTGCGCAGCAGAGTTCCCAGGCCAGCCGTTCAGAGACCGTAGGGTCAACGCTCGCGCAGACCCTGAGTCAGTCCACTGGCATCATGGCAAGCCAGCCATTAGTGCTGATGTCCGATGAGATCGTCATACAGCAGGCAGCACCGCAAGAGGCACAGGTACAAAGGGCTTTAGGAGAGAATGATTAGAAAAAGAGCTAGGATGCAGCGGAGACAAGCGGACATCAGTGAGTTAGAGGGAATGGACCTGACGCACATGGATGACGATGCGAGGACGTTGCGGACAGCCCTGCTAGGTGTTGTAGAGATGCAGGACCACCACACGGCTCTCCTTCAGGATATCCAGCAGAGTCTGGCCTTGCTGGTCGGACGAGCGCAGGCAGCACCATCATTGTCCGGGCCCGGTGCCTGGCCCGTTGTACAACTTCCTCCTTATGTTCCACCAGTGACTGGGGTAGCCCCATATGTCTCCCCAATATCGGTCCAACCCATTTCCCTAGGTATACCGTTAGCAGGAGGGTTCTCAGCAGGTCCTAGTGTGCAGGTTCCTGTACAAACAGTGTTCTCCCAACCTTCGTCGCAGGTTGCAGTAAACGGGCAGCCTGCTGTCTCGCAGCCTGCACAGCCGCAGGGTACACAGCCCCAGCAGCAGCAAGTGCAGCAGCCTGCACCACAGGGTCCACAGCCCGGAATGGTACAGGTGTTGGGACAAAGTCAGTGGGAATCGAAGATGGCCATCGCCACTCCTAAACCCTTTTCAGGGGACAAGAGAGGCGAAGACCTTGACACGTGGTTGAGGTCTGTGCCAGTCTACATTAAGTGCAAACTTACCTTGTCGCACGAGGAAGTGCTTGTGGCTGCCTCCTATCTAGAGGGGAGTGCAGCAAGATGGTTGAGTGGTTTAGTGCAGCTGCAGGGATATGGTCATGACTTCCGCGCTTGGGCAGTCAACCAGAAATTGGATGACTTCCTCAAGATGGTGGAAGACAGGTGGCATGTGGCATTCTGAGCCACACGGTCCCCAGTTAGGGCCGGGTTCCAGATAGGCAGGGTAGGCCTAAGGGACGGCAGTTCAGATAAGGCCTAGAAAGGCCTGGACCACAACGGTCCAGACAGGCCAGGGGTAAAAGCCCAGGCCAACGGCCACAAGGCCGGTACCGGTCAAACATAGGACCTACCGGCGCCACTACAGAGGCTGCCGAGTTTAGGCGCCAAATCCAGTTTCGAAACTGGACCGTTGATTCAGATCAACGGTCCACGCCGAAAGGTACCAGCAGGTAGGAGGTCGGCCCAGCACTACAAAAGGCTGGGTACCAGCCTCAGTAGGGAGGTTAGAAGTTAGTACGGTTGGGTTAGTCTTCAGGATTAGCGCAGCCGGTTGGGTTAGTCTTCAGGATTAGCGCAGCCTTGCAGCATTAGCGAGATTAGCGCAGCGCAGCAGCGTTAGCCCGAGCAGCGAGGAGACGATGAGCGCAGCAACAAGAAGTAACAGCGCAGCGGCCCTCCCGCGCCATAGCTACCGGATCAGGTACCGGGGGAGAAGGCTTTGCCTTCTCTCCCTCTGTTCCTCCGCCCCCCTCCTCTCTCTCTCTCTCTCTCTCTCTCTCTCTCTCCTCCTAAGTCTACTTCTGGGTTCTCCTACGGGAGTACTACAAGTATGAAGGATGGTTACGAATTTTGATGACATCTGAGACGGCAACGTTTGGACTACAGGTTGAGGACTACGGGTGGGATCTGATTTCATCTTCCTCTGGAGATGTACTTGACATTGTGAGATCGATATTTGAGACATTGTGGGATACTATATTCGCAACATATCGTATTTTCGCCATGTCTGATATTTCAAGATACTATCTTTGGAAACATTGAGTTGACGTCATCTTCCCTCTCCTCCTCCCTTCGTTTCTCTCCTCTCTCCCTTCATCCATGGATGATCTCAGCCGCTGGCCTTTCGTCTATGTCTAAGGCCAGGGCTTTCACACCCCTGATAAATGTTTGAGAGTGTTCGCTTGCAGTCCGAGTCAGGTCAGAGTCAGTCCATGTATCTCAAGTCTTCCGCTGTATTTGTATTTACTTTGTATTATCTGGTCGGTTCTGGGAATCTGCGCCATACTTATCACTGTGTTTCACGAGTATGCAACAGTTTGGTATCGGAGCAGACCAGCATTGGATGACTCACCATTGATTGATTGATTGATTGATTGATTATATACACCTGCACTCTGTTATCATTAAATCGCAAGTTGCAATTTTTTTTTTTTCTCTCGTACTTACATAGTAATTAGGTCATTGAATTATAGTTTAGGTTTTGTGACTTTTCTCCATATTGCGCGATTAGGGAATCACTAATTACGAGTAACCTAATTAGCGCTAATTAGTGTTAGTCCTAACCTAATCTAAACGGCCTATCCAACCTATGCGAAGTAAGTGCCAACCAGGCACCGTGCCGGTTAAGGCAGATCTGGCCTGAGCACGGCCACATTCAAACTGCAACTTCACGGCACTTTCACTTTTTGCAAATGCATCTTTTATTGCGATTAAAGTTTGAATCTTTTCCAGCAAATTGTGTATCTTCCTGCAACCATTGATCTTCTACTTACTTAGTGACCTCGTAATGATGCTAACTTCCCTCGATTAAATTTCGTGAAATTATTAAAATTATGTTTAAAGGTTTAAACTTGCTTAAACTGTATTCATTTTTTACTTGTGCAAATTTAATTATTCTTTAATTAAATATTTAATTTTTGCAAAATTTTATTACAAATTTAAATATTCTTTAATTAAATATTTTCTTTTGCCAAAATTAAAAGTAAAATTTTAGTTAATTAACTCGTATTTTTCGATTAAATTTTATTTAATTCAATAATTAAATATTTAATTTCTCAAAATTCGAAATTTTTGTGGGGGGAGAATTTTTTTTTTCCCTTTAACAGAGTCAAAATTCGAGGTCAGGGGAGAAAGGGTCTGTCTGTGCATTGTTCGCCTCACTGCCCTTCCTCCACCCCTACCTTCTCTCTCTCCTCCTCTCGGTACTGCGGACTTCAGTCTCCGGCCACGTCAGCATTGTGCCACAGTTCAACAGGCCACGAAGGCAGAGTGCCACCTCAGCCACGTGTCACCTCAGCGTGCCATGGCAGCTGAGTGCCACTCAGCAGCAGCCACCTCAGCAGTGCCGCATCAGCAGGTGCCACCTCAGCGGTGACACATCAGCAGCAGACGAAGGCCAGAGTACTTGATGCGCCGCAGCCAACGACTGGTCGAGCGCAGATCCGCAGGAGCCAAGCCTCAACAGGGACCTAGGACCCCTCGGATTCCGCGCAGGCCACGCACGACCATGCTGACGACAATGCACAAGCCAGCCCCAAGAGGCCGGTTACCCCTCCTATCCCAGTTCAGCAGGCCGAGGAACCGCTCCTAGCGTTCCTCAAACGTCTCCAGCTCTACTCGGAGACCACGGCAGCTGAACTGAGCAAGTGGGAAGAGGATGAAGCCGCCCGCCAGCAGGAAATACAACGCCAGCTGGCAGCGGCAAAGGCAGCACGTCAGCAGGCCGCAGCAGATGCTGCAGCAGCCGCACGGTTGCAACAGCAGCAGGTCGAGGCAAGTCGACACCAAGCTCGTTACCAAGCTACGATGGACCGTGCACGCAACGAAGCCACATACAGCAGGCAACTTCGACGACAGCATTTCCAAGAAACCGAAGAACGGGAAGAGCCGACCAAGGAAGAAAGTAACAAGGAAGGTACAGCAGTACTGATGGAGAATCTGCTGTACACGTGCAATTGGCAGCCACGTGAACTGCTGGCCATGCGGCAGGTCTTCATCCGCCATGAAACAACGTTTAAGGCATTGGACAAGAAGATCGTTACCCTGCAGGCCGAGATCAGCACTCTACACGTCGCCAACAGCCAGCAGCAGACACTCAACGACCAGTTGCAGACCGATGTCAGCAGGGGGTTGGCACAACTGTCGGCATCTGCGTCAACGGGCAGTGCAGTGGTAGACTGCAGCCCAGCTTTGGCCGCGCAGGCCAAGCAACTCGAAGACATCAGCAACCACGTGGTCGCATCCCTCGACGACATCAGCAAGTTTGTTGGAGCATCGACAGTCAGCAATCAGCTGCAGACGCTCAGCGACCGCGTTGAGCAACCACCGGTCGTTGCCGCCAAGGAATGGAAGATGGCGAACTTCAAGATCGAGAAGTTTGATGACTATCACAAGACTGATCCGCTGCAATGGTGGATGGCTTTCAACGCGGAGGCGGATGTACATCACACCCCCGCACATCGGCGGCTTGACGCACTCTACCTCCAACTCATTGGAGGGGCGCAGGCTTTCATGACACACATGGCCGTCACATTGGAATGCACCATCGCCACCCTCCACACTAAGATTACGTGGGAGGAATTCGAGAAGAAATGGAAGACCCGGTTCATGGTTAACAATGACAAACGGCACGCCTTGAACCAGATCTTCCGCATATACCAAGGCCAGCAAACTTCACGAGAATGGCTGACGGAGTGGCAAAGACTCATGGCCACCCCGGAGTTGAACTTACCGTTCGACTCAATCTGGGTCGAGTTCTTCACCCGGTCATGTGACGCCTTGACAACAGCTTTGGGCACTGAATTCCAGTATGAGACCTTTGATGACATGATATCAAAGGCAAGGGAGTTCATACAAGGTAACCGGCGGGCGGCCAACGAGACCCACCAACAGCCCGGTTACGTGGAGAAAGGCAAAGGTCAACGGACGCCGCAAGTAGTAGCAGTCCCGCAAGGACCAAGTGAGGACCACGCAGCAGCATCTACATCAAGTGACGGAGATGTGGCGGCAGCGATACCACCGCAACGCTCAAGACCCCGAGGGGGAAAACAAAAGGCGAAACCAGCATCGGAGGATGGAGCACAACAATCACCATTGACGAAGTTCGGCATTACCGAAGACATGTTCAAGTTGAGACAGAAATGGGGATGCTGTTTGTGGTGCAACAGCACCAAACACGTCACAAGCGCCTGCCTCGACAAGGACAAGGAAAATGTCAAACGTCCGGGCCCGGGAAACCGAGCACCGCAGGAAGTGCAGCAACAGCACTCCCCAGTCCGCTGGACTCGGCTGCCTTGCTAGCAGTCTCTCTCACGTCCGGGGACACCGCGGTAGTCGCAAGTTCTTGCATTGAGTTTGAGAACTATGTTGTCGAGCTGGTCCCACCGTTGAACCAGCCTCTCCACGTGCAAGATTCAAGCGCATGCGCGGTAGTTCCGTCGTCGGCCAACGAACCAGCTGCTTCGCCAACCCTTCTATCGAAGGATCCGTCAACTTGGGCGAGTCTTGAGGAACTCGACCCGTCGACGGTTGAGGACTTCCAATGGTTGACTCTTCCCTCCATCGGTTCTTTGCCAACACCGCATTGCAATGCCTTAATGGCACATTTGCGCGAATACTTGCACGCTCCAGTACCACCTCCGTCGACGGACGGCGGAGTAGCGGTTGTTGACCTTCGTAACTACCTTGCAAAGATCGACCGTGAGTACACAACGCACCGGTACGTCGACATCGACAGGTCGCTCCTCTACATCCGCATTCAGATCGGAAAGGCGACCTGTAGTGCCTTGATCGATTGTGGAGCGACTCGCAACTACATCAGCCAAGACTTCATGGCACGCGCCGGGCTTGGCCCCCACGTTCAAAGGGAAAGTCAGCCTACGCACGTCACGTTGGCCAATGGTCACACGCAAAAGTCAAGCGACCGATGCATTGACTCGGTGCCCGTGTACTTTGCCCCGCTAGCATGCGAGGCCGTGTCATTCGACATATTGGACACTAAGTTCGATATGATCCTAGCCATGTCGTGGCTGCAAAGCGAAGACCATCCGATGAACTTCTATCGACGCGCCGTTCACATTCGTGATCGGCGTGGCGAACTAGTCCCGTGTACGGTGCCGCTTCCTCATCCTTCAATTGGTTGTCACGTGGTCTCCGCGACGAGCATTCGCCAAGCCATCCGGCGGTACGACATCGAGGAGATGGCATATGTTTTCTTCGCGCCCTCCCACCCGGTGATCAGCCCAAGACGGATACGTCGGACCCACGCATCATTGAGTTGTTGGACAGGTATGAGGATGTCTTCCAAGCTCCCGTCGAAGTAGTACCGGATCGGCCCATTCGCCACGGAATCACTCTCGAGGACGGCGCCGTACCTCCGCGCGGATGTGTCTACCGCATGAGCGAAGAGGAGCTTCAAGTGCTTCGGGCACAACTAGACGACCTATTGGCCAAGGGTTGAATTCGCCCTAGCTGTTCGCCATACGGTGCTCTTGTTCTCTTCGTCCGGAAGAAGAACAAGAATCTTCGTTCGTGCATCGACTATCCAAAACTTAACGCGCAAACGATCAAGAACGCCGGCCCTCTCCCTCGGATCGATGATCTTTTCGAGCGACTAGGCGGCGCCAACTACTTCTCAAAGCTTGACCTCAAGTCCGGATACCACCAGATCCAGATCCAGCCAAGAGAACGGTACAAAACAGCATTCAAGACACGGTATGGGCACTTTGAGTGGATCGTCATGCCTTTCGGTCTCACCAATGCCCCGGCTACTTTCCAAGCGGCTATGACAATGGAATTCCGCGACTTGCTCTACCGCACCGTGCTCACTTACCTTGATGATATCTTGGTTTATAGCTGGACGCTGGATGAGCACCTTCGCGCCGTTTTGGAGCGGCTCCGTATCGCCAAGTACAAGGCGAACCGCGACAAGTGTGAGTTTGCCCAGCCAGAGCTGGAGTACTTAGGCCATTACGTTACGCCGCAAGGCATTCGTCCGCTCGCAGACAAAGTACAAGCCATTCAAGATTGGTAGGACCTCAAGTGCACTGCCGATGTCCGCTCCTTTCTTGGCTTAACATCTTACTACATGCGCTTCGTCAAAGGGTTTCAACAAATCGTTGCACCAGTGTCGCGACTTTAGTCCCCCTTGGTGCCCTTCGAATTCAACGACGAAGCCCGGCATGCGTTCCACACGTTGAAGACGGCTTTGCTTCAAGCTCCCGTCTTAAGCATCTATGACCCGGCCTTGCCTACCAAAGTGACTACGGACGCTTTCGACTATGGCATTGGCGCGGTTTTGGAACAGCATGACAGCACAAACTGGAATCCGGTTGAGTACTTCAGCCAAAAGGTGCCGCCCATCAACACTCTTGATGATGCGAGGAAGAAGGAACTGCTAGCTTTTGTCACCGTACTTAAGCGTTGACGTCATTTTCTCCTCGGGCGTCGACGATTCACGTGGGCAACGGACAACAATCCGTTGACGTATTACAAGACGCAAGACACGGTGAGCAGCACGATCGGTCGGTGGATGTACTTCATTGACCAGTTCGACTTCACCTCCAAGCATATTCCGGGCTCCTCGAACAAGGCAGCAGATGCTCTCTCGCAAAGACCTGATCTTTGCGCCTTGGTGCACTCCACATTCGGCCTCGACGAGAACCTGCAACAGCATTTCATAAACGGCTACAAGTCGGATCCGGGATTCTCCACACTCTATGCGACTTATCATCGGATCAACCGCCGTCAAGCAATTATCGCATTGTCGACGGCTACTTGCTTCTCCATACAAGAGGCAAAGACTTGTTGTGTGTTCCCCAAGACCGCATCTTGCGCACTCACCTCCTGGGCGAATAACACGATTCGCGGCTAGCAGGACACCTTGGCGTCGCACGCACACTAGCACGAATCCGCCAGTGATTTCACTAGCCGGACCATCAGCGACGTCAACCGGTACATTCAGTCATGTGCAGTTTGCCACCGGAACAAAAGGCGCCATCAGCTCCCGTACGGCGAACTGAAACCATTGTCGATTCCTCGAGAACCGGGTCTCTCCATTGCTATGGATGTGACCGGTCCTTTCCCTCGCGATCGCCTTGGCCATGATGGTATTCTCACGGTCGTTGACCGTTTGAGCAAGTACGCTCGATTTTTTCCATGCAAGTATCATGCGATGGCTCCCGAGCTCGCACGACTCTTGCATATCGGCTGGTTTTGCAGTCACGGCGTTCCGGAAGACATCGTCAGCGACCGCGACACTCGTTTCATGTCGGCCTTTTGGACGGCACTCATGGTGGAATCCGGCACCAGCATGAAACCGAGTTCCGCACGGCATCCTCAGGCAAACGGAACGTGTGCACCAGACTGCGCAAATGATGCTCCACACACTCATCCGCCCGGACTAGAAGGATTGGGTTGACCGCGTTCCCGACATCGAATTCGCCTACAACACTTCAGTGCACCCGACGATTGGCGTGACTCCATTCGAGTTGCAGTACGATGGACGGAAAAGATATATCTTCGCAGACATTTTGCTTCCACGGGTTGCCGATATCGACGCCTCTTGCTCCCCCGCTTCTACACGAATGTACAAGGAACTGCTGGCCAAAGCCCGCGCATACATGCAAAGGGCTCAGGTCCGTATGCAGCAGCAAGCGAACCGGTGTTGCCTCCCATGTCCAATCCGCGCTGGCGATCTGGTTTGGGTCACCTTCGAGGAATTCACGCTCGAGCCGCACGTCTCGCGCAAGCTCCTCCCTAAGTGGTTTGGACCATGGAAGGTCACTTCAGCAGCTGGCGACGACGCCGCAGGTCCATCTTTCATCATTGAGATTCCCCCGCATTTGACGGTCCACCCGATATTTCACGCTTCAAAGCTGGCGGTCTACACTCCAACCTCCGCAGTGGACTTTCCAGGCAAACAGTCACAGGACCCTCCTTCAATGAATGGCCATCAGGAGGTCGACCTCGTCCTCGCTCATGGCAAGCACGGCAACAAGCCAATGCAGTACAAAGCTACATTCAAGCAATGCGATCCCGACGACACACGCTGGATTTCACGAGCTGATCTGAAGGCGACAGCACTCCTCATCTCCGCGCATTACGAAAAACAGCGACTTGCTAAGGAAGCTGCCCAACCTGCCCGCCTCGTACGGACATCAGACAGACAGCTTCGCCCTCACAGTTAGCTCGGTCTTCAAGGGGGGGAGTGTGTGGCATTCTGAGCCACATGGGCCCCAGTTAGGGGCCCGGTTCCAGATAGGCCTTGACATTGTGAGATCGATATCTGAGGCATTGTGGGATACTGTATTCGCGACATTTCGGATTTTCGCCATCTCTTATATTTCAAGATACTATCATTGGAAACATTGAGTTGACGTCATCTTCCCTCTCCTCCTCCCTTCGTCCGTGGATAATCTCAACCCCTGGCATTTCGTCTATGTCTAAGGCCAAGGCTTTCACACCCCTAATGAATGTTTGAGAGTTCGATTGCAGTCCGAGTGAGGTCAGAGTCAGTCCATGTATCTCAAGTCTTCCGCTGTATTTGTATTTACTCTGTATTATCTGGTCGGTTCTGGGAATCTGCGCCATACTTATGACTGTGTTTCACGAGTATGCAACATGGCATGATCCTCAGCAGGCTCAAAAGGCCATTGATGTGATCCTGACTCTGCATACTAGGCAGTTTAAGTCAGTAAGAGAGGCCACTAACGTTGTAGAGCGGCTGATCTGTGTCCTTGGGGTGCGCTATGACCCCCAGGTTTTACTCACCTCCTACCTGAGATGCTTTCCAATGCCCCTCAGGAATCAGTTGGCAGGTGAGGCCAACATCAACATGCACAACTTCCCGTCGTTTAGCAAGAAGGCCCTGGACCTGAAAGCAAAGATAGGGCACGGTCAAACACCCACGACAGATGGTAGGAAGAAGTCATTGCCTCCCAACTGGAAGGCGAAGGGCCGAATTATGTTAGTCGACAACGACGGTTCTACCATCGAGTTGGACGACGAGTTCCAGGCGGGAGTAGGTTCAGAGGCTGGCAGCATAGAGGCTTCAGGAGGTGGGGGAGTCGCTGTCGTAGCTCAAAAAGGTAAGGTGACCGATAGACGCCGAGGAGGTTCGCGGTCCAGGAATCAAGTCGACCCCAACGCTCCTCCATGGGAGAAAGCGGGTCTTAGTGAGGACGTGTGTAGAGACCAGTACACCCGGCATGCTTGCATTCGTTGTGGCCAATATGACCATAACGAATTCAAGTGTCGTAACAAAAAGGTGACCGAGAAGATGCCACCTATGATGGGGCAGGCGTTGGGATCCTCCTCTTCCGTTGGCAGCAATGTGCCAAGTAGTTCTGGCACCGCTTCGGGAAACACGTCGAGTCAGCAGGAATAGTAGTTCCTGCTAGGGTCGAGGTGGTGGACACACCCTCACCATCTCGAGAGATGGCCCAAGATACTGACTCCATCGTCGTCTCGCAAACACATTCAGATCCATCGAGCCTCTGTTCAATGAATGTGTTCGAGTCCTTAGAGGAGCTAGAGGAGGAGTGGTCTAGATCAGACCCGCTAGCTTCTTGGACGACATTGGCAAAAGCCCCTAAGGGTGAGATGTTTGTCGGCGAGGTAGTCTTCGACGGCCGCAAGGCCGGGGCCTATTATGACACTTGCTCGACTAGGAACTTCATTAGTCGTGCGTGCATTGAGAGGCTGCGCTTACAGGGGCAAGTGCAGGGCCTGAGTCGACCTGTGCCAACAAACAGCGCACGGTAGTCAACGACTACCTCCAAGATGTTGAGTGTTGTTTCTTGTACGGGAGAGGGGAACTGAGACATCGCGTCTCGTCCCTAGTGAGCGATGATCTCCCTATGGATATCTTATTAGGTATGTACTACCTCTCCGTTGCACAGCCCAGTTTGACAGGGACCGAAAAGTGGTCAAACACACTTTGCTAGGTGGGGGGACCGCCAGATTACGTAAGTTTAAGGCTAATAGTCTGATCGAGTCATACGAATGCATGTGTGTGGCCGCGTTCTACAATTCTTACAAGCAGAATCCGGAGGAGGGTATGTATCTAATTTATGTCTTTGCTGCAGGCGAGCCGGTGAAAATGTCGTCGGAGATACAGGGAGTAGTTGCTAAGTACCCTGATCTATTTGAAGAGCTAACAGGGATTGTTGAGAGGGAGGTTGTCCACCCGATAGAGATTATCCCAGGGTCTAGCATTCCGAAGGATAAAATCTATCAAATGTCTCCAGGCGAGCTTGACAAGCTTCGTCAGCTACTCAAGGAACTCATAGAGAAGGGATGGATCCGGCCGAGTGTCTCTCGTTATGGTTCTCCAGTCCTATTCGTACCAGTGAAGGGGGGCACTCTGAGGATGTGCATTGACTATATGGGCCTCAATGCCATCACTGTCAAGAACCGAGGGCCCCTACCGCGCATCGACGACTTGTTAGATCGAGGGCAAGGGTGTCGATACTTCAGTAAGATAGATCTGAAGTCCGGGTACCATCGGATTGCCATACGGCCCGAGGATCAACACAAAACCGCATTTCAAACCAAGTACCGTTTGTACGAGTTTGTGGTGATGCCTTTCGGCCTTTGCAATGCTCCTGGCACCTTTCAGCACGCGATGAATCGAATCTCTCATGACTACTTGGACAAG